GTTCTTGGGAGAACGTCGCCTGTTTCTCCCACAGTAACTGTCTCGCCTGTACCTTCTCTGCCGGGTTTAGCCGGTTCCCTAGCTGTACAAGACTAGTAAGGTCTGTCTGGGGGTCCCTCTCTAGCAAGTCAGGTAACGGTAAGTTCTCGGGATCATCAGAAGCTGGGGCACATACTGCTGCAACATCCTCTGGTCGTTCTTGATACTCCTTCAGCATGTTCACATGGAAGGATCGCTGAATCCTTTCATCTGAACAGCTGGCTATAAGGTAGGTAGTATCACATACCTGAGCTAACACTTTATACGGGCCCTGCCAAGATGCTTGCATCTTGTTTGTCTTCACAGGCTTGAGTACCAGAACCTTCTGCCCAACCTGGAAGACTCGCTGTCGGGCACCCCGATCGTACCACCGTTTCTGTCTCCCCTGGGCCGCCTGGAGATTCTCCCTGACCATCAGGGATAGTTTCTCCATGCGGTCCCGGAGTTCCAGGACATATGGCACGATGGGAGTCCCTTCTTGCTCTGTCTCCCCCTCCCAGTGTCCCCTAATGAGATCTAGGGGTCCACGGACCCTTCTCCCATAGAGTAACTCAAAGGGGGAGAACCCAGTAGATTCCTGAGGCACCTCTCTGTATGCAAATAGCAGATGAGGCAGGAATCGCTCCCAATCTCTGCAAGTGTCAGTAAAGGTCCTCAACATCTGTTTGAGGGTGCCATTAAATCGCTCACAGAGACCGTTAGTCTGTGGGTGATAAGGTGAGCTAAGCAGAGGTTTAATACCGCACACCTTCCACAGCTGCTGGGTAAGCACAGCGGTGAACTGGGTTCCCTGATCGGAGAGAATCTCCTGAGGGAACCCGACCCTAGTGAAGATTTTAACCAGGGCATCAGCAACCGTCTCTGCCTCTATATTAGACAGCGCTACTGCCTCTGGATAACGTGTGGCATAGTCCACCACGGTGAGAATATACTTCTTACCGGATGGACTAGCCCTGGCCAGTGGACCCACAATGTCAACGGCTATGCGGGAAAAGGGTTCTCCAATGATAGGCATCGACTGAAGCCTAGCTTTTGGGTGATCCCCCCGCTTCCCTACCCGTTGACAAGTGTCACACGTGCTGCAATAAACCCGCACATCTCGGTTAAAATTGGGCCAGAAGAAATTTTGTGTGATCCTATGAGCTGTGCGGCGGGAACCTAGATGGCCGGCTAATGGCACATCATGCCCAATCCGCAGAATCTCCTGTCGGTATTTTGCGGGCACCACTAGCTGTCGATTCTGCGGAGGGGTATTCGGCTTCTGGGGCGGTTTCGGGATCCTGTATAGTCTATCCCCCACCCACTCGTAGTGCTCCCCATCTACTCCTTCTCCCCCAGAATCGGCCCTGGCCCTGTACTTGGCTAGCGTCGGGTCTTCCCTGGTTTCTTTCCCGTACATCTCTGGGGTATCCCAGCCTAAAGGGGCCTGGTCTAAGGTACAAGTCGGGGGAGAGAGTCTTACCTGGGTCTCAGCAGCAGGTGGGCCGGTCTCGGCAGCACGGGTCTGGGCACGGGTCGTGACAGCATCCACTTCAGCAGGACCCATGGGAGCAAAGGCTGAAACAAGG